CTAAAAAGGACTAAATCTTATCTATAGATATTGTTTTTTTTTTTTGAGAAAATAATATAGCAGTATAGTCCAGCAGGACCATATTAAAGAACATTGAGTCTTAAGCTTCTTTAAGCATTGAAAGCCTAAGGGCCCCGCCGTCATGCAACGCGCATTCCTCCACCTAGTTGAGAAGAAAATAGCTATGGTAGCTAGCAACAATATGGACTTCATGGATTGAGCGGGACCACGTGGCCCGCACTGGCTCACTCAGCTCAGTTCTAAGAAACGGCCTTCGCCACAAGTGTGGCACAAGGGTCAGCAACAATAGCCCATGATAGGGTAAAGTGTGGGCAAGGCTTATTTTTCTTTGTTTTTTTTCTGGTTTTTGTTTTTTTCCATTTTATTTGGTGTGGTCCAGACATGATAGGGCTAGAATCGGGCTTGGGCTAGGGCCTTTTTGGCCTGATCAGGGCTGGGCCGAGCCTGGACCAGCCTTTTGGAAAGTAGGGCCGGCTAAGGCCAGGGGTGGCTTGGCCCAGGCCCAGCCTGTTGCCACTCCTAAGGCACTAAAAAGTACAGTTCCTGCCTTCAATAGTTGCAAGGGTGACTTGGGGATTAGCTAGGCTATTCGAGTGTCTTCTCTTTCTTTCTTTCTTTCTTCTTCTTCCTTCTCTTTCTTTTTTTTCCTTTTTTTTTTTTTTTTTTTTTTTTTTTTTTTCTTCGTCGAGTTTTTTTTGCCCTTTTTTGAACTGTGCTAGGATATTTGATTTTCTGTTTTAAGGAAATATTAAAACTTTCCCAATGACGAATGGCAAGATGAGACCATCTTATCTGAAATTCAATTTTGATGACAACATCCAATAGCCTAACGCAAGGGAAGTGCTTGTTGACATACTCTATTTGGACAGTTCCCGACTTCAGTAGGAAAAGTTGAGTTCCAGCTATAAAATGCTTTTCGAAGGTTGTTACTGTAGAAGGGGATTCCAATAATGTTAATAGTTAAATAAGAGAATTTTTTTTTTACTTGTTTTTCAAATAGTTTAGGACGTGGGTTTTTTAAGATTTTTTTTTTGTTTTTTAAACAATGGGTGTTTTGAAGGTATTAGTAGGGTGATGGCAATGGGAATAAAAATCATAACGTAGTGACTAGGGTGTGGGTGCTATCATCACGACCACAATCCCTTTCCCACTAAACAAGAGGTGAAGGCTAGTCTTTATGTGAAGGCAACAATGCAATAGCAGGGAACCCAGCTTTTTTTTTTTTTTGTGGATAAAAAAAAAGTAAATAAAAAAAAAGTAAATCAATGGAGATTTGAGCCACTAACTTTTGATGAAAATAGAGTCAGAGACTTCATCATAACTCTCGCTTATACTACTGCCAACATATCAGCCCATTCTCAAGGGATCCCAACTAATGAGGGCATCTTATTTATTAGCTAATGAGGGCATCTTACTTATTACAAAATTTTGATACTATAAGGCATGCATGTCAATTTTGTGTAGCAGAAGCACAAACACATGTAATTCTATTTTTAGACTAAATCAAACTAAACGTTAAAACAAGGAATTAAAGAAAAACAAACAAGGAATTAAAGAAAAACAAACAAGGAATTAAAGAAAAACAAGAAGAAAGGGCCATGCTATGTCCAAATGGGTAAGGAAATAAGTGAAGTCGTTTCTAATGAATGGTCAGTCAATAAGGGCCCGTGACAAGTCAAGGTCAAAAGGAGGAAGGGAAAGGAACATATTACCTAGTTTAGAGAGAGAGAGAGAGAGAGAGAGCGAGATATGATGTTAGCAGTCCATTTTGTTTTAGAACAAAGTAAAAATTAGGTCATTATATTTGTGTCTCTTTGTTTGATAATCAAACCAGCCTTCGAAACCCGAGGGCGGGTTCGAGTAACTTGTAAACCAGCAGGTTCAACCAGCCTAACCACGCAGGTCCCATCCAGTCTAAAAATGTTAAAAATTAAAAAATACAAAATAATATGAATATATATTTAGAGCATTATTAAACAATGCACATCAAAATGAAGTTGAAAAGTAGTGAAAAAATAGATTTTTAAAAATTAATTGTGCCCAAGGTATTTTTTTAAAAAAAAATTTTATATAAGTGCAAGGCTCTAAACAATTAAATTAGGTCGCACATCAAAAATTTCATTAGAAGAGGTTGTTCATGAGAAAAAAAAAAGGATTTCAAGGTTTGCAAATAGTGCATCTTGTAATGCATTTTTGGACAGTCAATTTTCAAGATGTTCAAGTTTTCATAAATTAACTATTTTTGAAGCTTTAAATTTATAATTAGAGATAAAAATATATTTTATGGCTATCACGAAGATTTCCAGTATTGAATCACATTTCGCAATACTATTCTAAGGTACGCTTTATTTTGATTGTTTAGAGCCTTGGCTTTATACAAACCGTACCCTTGTCAAAATTTTCCAAAAAAGAAAAAATGTAAAAATAAGTATTCATGGCCAAAAAACTTTCCAATCTTTTCCAAAATAATAAAAAACATTCAAAAATATTAAAAATAAACTCCTTATTTTTTAGGATTTTATATATATTTTTTGAATATTTTTTAAAATACCTTGTCGGACCACCAAAACCGTCTAAAACTAGATTTTGACCAATGCCTAGTTCTGGTTCCAAGTTGGACAGGCCGAGTTAGTGAACAACGGTTTACCTATATAGTAATCGTCAATCAGACAGTTATTCCCAGACATTTTGAATTAAATCATGGGTTGATTAGTTACAAATATCGATGTAGAGTGATAGAGAAATCGTTATTAGGAATGAAATTGCCGGTGAGGGTCTGATTCAGTCAAAACCTGACTGCTAGTAGAACAGATAAGATTATATTTTAAAAACAAAAAAACTACAAATAATAGTTTAAAAATATAAAATATATTAAAAATACTTAAATTTGTTTAGTTGATCTAACCAATCAAAACTAGCATAGTGTAATATTTATTATTTTTTACTATTTTTTTACTAACACCAGTTTTGTTTTATATCTAGGAAAAAGTTTATATAAAGATGCTACCTTACAATGTAGAACTACAGGTGCCCCTCAAAAATCCATTGGATCGGGTAGTTTTAATGTTGAAAGACCTTTTGATTGATCATCTCAACATCAAGATGTATGACTATGAGAAATAAAAAGATTTTAAGTCTCAGAAATAGTGCATTTTACAACATATTATCTACACCGTCCATTTTCAAGATTTTCATATGTTTATAGATCTATTTGATTTTAACTATTTTTTAAATTTAAAATTTTATAATTAAATATAAAAATAGATTTTGAGATAATTATAAGAACATTTTACATCAAAATTATATACCATGATAAAATTTGAAGTTGCACCTTACCTCTACACCTACTGATGCACTGTATGCCAATTGTACCCTTATATCTGACTAGCCAAGGCATTAATTGGTGGTCTTATCGATAGGACATGGCGGTCCCATATGATCCAGCCTTGATAGCCATGAGATAAACAATTCTTAAATTGAAAAGCAAAATAAATTTGCTCATAATCTATGCCAGCATTTGCAAAACCGGCTAGGTTCACCAAGACCTAGCTAGGTTACCCGAAACCGGCCACTTGTCATGGACGGTTTTGGCTGGTTAGGGTGATCAATTGGCTTGACCACCATAACTTAAAATTTTAAAATTTAAAAAATATAAAAAATCCAAAAAATAAGAAATTTGTTTGTAATAGGCTCCTTGATGTTTTTTTTTTATTTTGGAAATGATTAGAAAGTATTCCGGCCATAAATAGTTATTTTTATATTTTTCCTTCTTTTTGAATTATTTCTAAAATACCCTCAGGCATAAATTGATTTTGCATAATCCATTTTTCACCGCATATCTAATCTCATTTTGTAATAGGTTCCTTGATGTTTTTTTTTATTTTGGAAATGATTAGAAAGTATTTCGGCCGTAAATAGTTATTTTTATAGTTTTCCTTCTTTTTGAATTATTTCTAAAATACCCACAGGTATAAATTGATTTTTCATAATCCATTTTTCACCGCATATCTAATCTCATTTTGATGTATTTTGTTTAATTATATTTTAAACATACCTTTCCTTGTTTTTTAAGATTTGTTTAAGAGTTTTAACCCTTTTTAGCTAGGTGGGGACCTACCCAACTCGAGCCAGTTACCAGGACCGGTCTTGAATTATACAGACCCGGCCCAAGGCGAGGTTCGGTGGCCAGTTCGTGCAATCGAATACTGGTCTACGCGTAGAATGAGATATATGTGAGCTTTTAAGACATTCCATCTCAAAATTTTAGCCTCAAAAAGATGCACATCTTAATACCTGCACCTTCTACAACAAGTCGCGTCCTTTCATGGCCATCTCTTCCTTTCAACGCGCTTTTGCCGGACCATTTCAAAGTCCTTTTTTTTTTATTTGGATGTGCGTTTCAAAGACCATTCCTCCTAAAACACGTCCCGAATTTATGTAGTAGCACTACAACTCTTTATATTTTGTTATTATTTGATAATATATGTTTTTTAAAACTACGAGGATCACCTAATTTTTTTTTTTCTTTTTTTTTTCTTTTTTTTTTTTTTTATTAAGTTGCCCTTCTATCCGACGATAAAATCGAACAGGCCTTATTTCCACATAACAGTGCCCCATCGGGCGTTATAGATACCGGACAACACTCATGAGGGATTTTATCCAAGGTGAGAAGCCCAAAATGAAATATGATTGTAATCCAAAATGCTCTCCTTTTTTAACTCTTTTTCTTGCCCCAACACACGTTCTTTGACCGTGGACAGAGACGCTGCTCTACGGAAATAATATGCTTTCCTGTCCGGTGTTGTTATTGGTACTCGTAATTTATGAAAAAAATATCATCTTCACTGTCGTTATTGGTATACCTAACTCGTTTATAAAAAAAATGTCACCAAGGAGTTAAAAAAAATTCGAAACTGAGTACGTATATAAATGGCTCCTTATTTAAACGCCACCTCTCCCTCTCTGTCCCCAAAGAGCCATAGACCAAGTGCGGAAAATTTGCAGTCTTCAATGGTTTCCTCAATGGCCACATTTAGACTTCATCTTTCTTTTCTTCTCCCATTATTGCTTATTACTTCTCCCTCTTCAGCACAATCCTTCGCTCTCCAAAACACGAGCATGGCTTCACCAACCCAAATCCTAGCCATGCCTTTTCCTTCCACTTACCCATTCAGAAACATTAGCTTGGGTTCTTTTCTTTCTACAACCCCAACTGGTAGCAATCAGAGTTACTGGCTTTGTCCTTCTGGTAACTTTGCTTTTGGGTTCTACCCTCTCAGTAAGCCTCAAAATTTCATGGTAGGAGTTTGGATGCCCAGAACCCCTGAAAACACACTGATTTGGACTGCAAATCGAGATGATCCTCCTCTTCTCGATGGAACCTCCATCATTCTAACCAGTAATGGCAAACTTTTAGTGAGAAACCAAGGAATCCAAGAAAGACCCATCACAAACAATTCAATTTCAGCAACTTCAGCTGCCTTTTTCGATGATGGCAACTTTGTTCTTTACAGTGACACCAAGGTTATATGGCAGAGCTTTGACATACCAACTGATACTATCATGAGTGGCCAAAGGCTATTAAATGGCTATGAGATCCTCTCTTCTTCTTCTGATACCACCTTCTCCTCTGGTAAATTCAGGCTCAAAATGCAAGACGATGGTAATCTTGTGCTTTACCCGATGAACACCACAGATAGAGGTTATAATTCTTACTGGTCCACTGCAACCTATGGCCGAGGTAACAGTTTAACACTGAATTTAAACTCAGACGGCCACTTATATCTCATGAATTCTTCTGGTTACTTTGTAAAGAACATCACAGAAAGCAAAGATTCAAGCTTTATATATAGGATGACATTAAGTTCTGAGGGTAAGCTTGAATTATATTCTCATGGCCTTGAAAAAAATGGTAGCCTGAATTCCTCTGTCATTTGGTCAGCTGTTGAAGGGTCTTGTGATGTGAAGGGGATATGTGGGGATAATAGCTACTGTATTTTGAAGGCTTTGAAAAAACCAAGTTGTCGATGTGCTCCTGGGTTTAGTGCACCTGGCCCTGAGAGAACATTTCTGGACTGTGCAAGGAGCTTCAAAGATTGGGAATGCGAAGATCGAAAATATAATTTCACCATTGATACTATCGAAAAAGTAATATGGCAAGACCCTGAATACACTGATGATATTGTGACTGAAGATGATTGCAAAGAAACTTGTCTTGACGATTGCACATGCATGGCTGCTTTCTTTGATTATCAAAAGTGTGCTATAATGAAATCCCCTTTGAGATATGGAAAAAGAACTTCTAATTCAGTGAAGGCTTTCTTCAGGGTTCCACACAATGTCACCACTACTGGTTCATCCAATATTTCGCCTCCTCATTTATCACGAAACCCAACTGGTTCGGTTATAGAGAGGGGTTTACATGGGTCTTTCAATAAGTGGTTCCCCATTAGCTTGGCTCTTGGAAGTGGACTTGTGTTATCTTTAGCACTCTCTGGTTTTCTTGCCTACCGATCAAGAATGGGATGGTATTACAGGCTTTCGAGTAACCATTCTCTTAAAAACCAAGTGAATTTGATATCTTTTGCTTATGGCCAGCTTTATGAAGCCACCAGGGGCTTTGCAGAAGCACTAGGAAAAGGTTCATTTGGGACAGTATTCAAAGGGATTTTATGTAACGATGCTGAAGTTGCAGTGAAGAAACTGGAGAAACTAGAAGAAGAAGGAGAGGAGGAGTTTCGAACCGAGGTGAATGTAATTGGTCGAACCCATCACAAGAACCTGGTTCAATTACTTGGTTTTTGTGATGAGGGTTCTCACAGGCTCTTAGTCTATGAGTTTATGAGAAATGGATCTCTTGCAGAGCTCTTATTCAACGAAGAAAACCGACCCAATTGGGAGGACAGAGTGAAGATGGCTCTCGACATAGCTCGAGGACTCCTATACTTGCACGAAGAGTGTGTGACCCAAATTATACATTGTGATATAAAGCCTCAAAATATACTCTTGGATGAGTTTCATACGGCGAAGATATCAGATTTTGGGTTGGCAAAGCTTTTGACGCCTGATCAAACAAGGACCTTAACAGTTGCTCGAGGAACTAGAGGTTATGAGGCCCCGGAATGGCACAGGAATGTTCCTGTCACAGCTAAGGTGGACGTGTATAGCTACGGTGCAATGCTGATGGAGATCATTTGTTGCAGAAAGAGCTTGGTGGTCGATGTCCCTGAAGATGAGATAATACTCTCAGAATGGGTTTACAAATGCTTTCAAGATGGTTGCTTGGAGAAACTGATAACTCCTGAAGAATTGGAGGTTAGAGAGGAGAAGCAGAGACTGGAAAGGATGGTTCTGGTGGCGCTATGGTGTAAACAGGAAGAGCCTACATTGAGGCCATCCATGAAGACGGTGGTTTTAATGTTGGAGGGCACAGTGGAGGTGCAAGTTCCTCCTCATCCTTGCCCCCATTCAGCCCAATCTATGATCTCATGATTTTTAGGTGCAGAAGTGAAGGATAAAAATTTGAGGGAAAAGCACCACTATCGTCCATGGTACACAATAAGGGTGTATATCGTAAGTTCGTATTGAAGGGTGGAGATCGACTGTAGTTAACTGTAATAACGGATGAGTTCCATATTATTGATATCCACCATTTGTCAATGGAATAGATGGTAGATGCTCTTGTGGTGGATTTTCTAGTACTAGAAAATGGAGTATGGTATGATTCCTCAGAATTCTATGGTCTCTTTGTGAACTTCTCTCTTAATGACTTTTGAGAAATCCAGGTTTAATTACTATAGTTTGATAGAGAATGAAATGTACTGATTTCTTTGTATTTTACTCAAATGTATTGAACTCTATTTTCTTAATTTTCCATAGAAAACATCCTTTTGGGAAGTTGATTTCATGCTTTAAGTAGTTGTCCTTAACTAATTATATATGGGGAATGGTTTAATGGTCTAGGCTCATATCGTTTCCTAGAAGCCATTTTGAAAGACATATTGCTAAAAAGATGTGACTTTTATTTTGCTTTAAAGATCAAGGTTTAGTGTGAGTTTAGTAGAAATATCCGACTTGATTTGGCTTAGTTTAGGTGACTCAGGTTTGGTCAGGTGAAGATATAATAACACTAATAATAATAATAATAATTATTATTATTATTAAATTAATACATATTTTTATAAATATTTTATGTAAATATGTCAGTTCAGTTTAACCTCGACTTGAGTTGGGTCCCGGTTGAACGGACATGAACCACACCCTCTTAATCCATTTATAGTTTGGACCCCGACCCGGGTCATGTCGACCCAATGAGTTTGAGACTATTTATCATATTTATAAAGAGGTCACAATTACTCCTAATCATTAGATGTAAATTTTAATGGTTTGGGATAAGTATGAAGTTTCATAAATTTTTTTTTTTTTAACTTCGAATATATAGTCAATAACATTCTTGTTACCACCTAATTTGAAATATAGAAGACAAGTAATTGTTATTTCTTTACACAAATAAAAAATAGAAATAGACGGTATGTTTATATACTTATTCAATTAAAAATAGATTAAAATATAAAAGCGGAAGTATCACTCTCGCTGGGTTTATCACCAAGGCGTTGGATGTCACACTAGAATGGTTGCGTAGTCATTCATCTTGACTTGAGATGCTACTAGAGCTAAAGCGATGCACCGTACCCACATGTTGACAAGTGGGGTAATCTTTAATTCAATGAGTCTATGTGGAAATGTGTCCTACTATGTTGACAATTGGGGGAATCATTAATTCTATCAGTGTATGTGGAAATCTGTCTAACTCTTAAAATCTATTTTTGAGATGGATTTTCGGACTCCATTCTTAAAAACATGTAATCTCTAATATGAAGATCATAAATATAAAAAAGTAAATAACTTTTAAATTATAAAAATAATGAATTATGAACAAAACAATTGAATTACTAGTTTCAATTGTTTTTAAATTGACCACCTATTTGCATCCATCTTTAAAATGGATGTTTTTTATATTGAGACCATATATTATAGAAATGCGGTCCAACCCTCACGAAACATTTTTCCAATTGAAAATGATAGCATATTGTACACACCATTTACTTAACAACATTGGCAGCCAAACCACCATTTTTCGAGCTGAAAATGGTTTGATAGGGCTGCAGCCCTATCCAAATCAATAAATCATTGCATCAAAACTCATCAAAAATTGTAGTTTTGACATCAGAAAACCTTCAAATTACTTATTAAAAAAAGAATACCTTCAAATTAATCATCTTGGCCTTGATTGTTATAGCTGTAAATTTTAATTAGGATTTAAAGCTCTAAAAATAACGTATATTGTAACACATTATCTAGACTGTCAATTTTGCCCTAAAAATAAGTGCTCATGAATCTGCAAGATTTGCACTATTTTTTTTAGCTTTAAATTTCGTTGTCGGTATTGGAAGTTAATTTTTAAAGCTATCATGGAGATTTTCAATGCCTAAAATGCTTTTCAGACGAGGATTCAATGTGAGGCTTTACTTTGTTTGCATAAAGCCTAGGCCTTATACCAATTGCATCATTTTAAAGCGTAACTAAATCTAAAGGGTGTGGTTTTGGGAGGCCAAAATAGAATGATCGGGTTGTGTCATTCCTATGCTCAGAATATGTATTTAAGGGACTTTGAGAGGAAAACCCGACACAATATGATCATCCATTATCAAAATTTGACAAACAAGAAATTGGAAGAAAATCAATAACACAACACATAAATTTTACTAGGACCAGACCTAACCAAACCAATGAAGGCATTGGTTTAGTCAAATGGCCGAACCATGCCGGTTCACTGATTAGTCCGTCTTAAGAAATTAAATAATTAATAAAAAAAGTAAAATTAAGAAAAAAATAGCAAAAAATAGAGAAAACTATGGAAAATATAAAATTTAAAAAATAATATAAACAAATATAACTTTACAATTAATCAAAAATACTCATTAACAATACAATAGCTCAAAATTATAAGAAGACATGTTGGATTTGGTGATAGCCAAATCACCATAACCATATTTTCTTCTAAAATATTGAGGTTATTATTGTAAAAATGAAATATAATTTTAAAAAGCAAGAAAGTGATTTTTACATAAAAGAATAAAAAAAAATATAATATTTATTTTTTTTTAAAGTCACCTTTTTAAGATTATGGGAATGGATCTCCAATATGAAGATGAGACTCCAAAAAAGAGAGAGACATAACATCTCGTAGAGACAGTATTCCCATGAGTTTAAAGTTAATAAGGCTATTGTATGGATTTTTGGAAGTTTCGTTCCGGTTCCTTTTAGGATATGCATGCGTCATATTTTCGTACTCCTTAGGGGACATGCTAGGTTTGCTATCCATCGGACAAAAGACCCTTATAAATGATAACCTCATAAGTGGTAAAAGTTATTGTGTTCCATAAGAATATTTGTTTGGAAGTTGATCATGCACTTTTATCAATAAAATATCTTAAAAAAATCTTTTATAAGAAGAAATCCTATTGTGCGTGTGCTGTTGTGGGTGCATGTTGTTTATTTACTCCTTCTTATAAAAGATATTTTTTAGATATTTTATTGATACAATTTATGATTCACTTCCAAGCCAATATTCTTATTGAACACGATAAACTTTTACCATTTATAAGTGACTTTTGTATGATAGATCGCATACCTAGCATGTACCCTTAGGAGTACGAAAAATATGAGCCCTGCATGTTCTAGTTAGTCTCAATAATAAAAATAAATAAATAAATAAATCAACAACTTATTCGGATCGATCCTTAAAAGCACACGATGAACTTAAGGTTTCATATCAAAACTTATATACCACGCCATCCGGTGCCAGGCTACCTTGAAAGTCCTCTTAGTGAATCTCTTTCACCAATTTTCCATCATTTTCTCTAACAGTCGTTCAACCATAGTTTTGTTAAGGTAAGTCAAAAATAATATGTAAAACCACAGATAATGTATTGGATAAGAATACATCAAGTGGCTCGTATCCATAAAACATAATCTAACTGTTGTTAGGACCAGTGGTTTAAAAAACGGATCGGTGCCCCGGATCGGGCACCCCAAAAACCCATCCGGATCAGTGAATCGACGATCCGGATTGGGAATCGACCGAATCGGTCGGAATAAACCTTAAAAAATCTAAAAAATAAAATAAAATTTATTATAAATATTGTTTTTTTCGGATTCCAATAAGAAATAGGAGTACTACATTATTAACTTTCATTTTTTTCATCAATATACGAATATTGAGATGTTCTTCCCTATATGAACTTATGTTAACCATTAAATTTACATCACATAAAAGAAAACTCATAGAATTATCATAGATGAAGTATATAATCATACATGGACTACAATAAATAATGGATTAAATCAATAAAAAAAAAGCCACCAAAATCTCGAATTGGCGGAAAACCCTAATCTGCTAAAAAAAACTCAAATTACTACAACCTAACTACCAATACTCCATGATTATTACAACCAAACTAACTATAATATCATATATTGGAATTGAAATTGTTGGTTTACATTTTATAATTATTTTATTACACAAATAATAATAAATCAAAAATATCTTATAATATCACCTAATTTAAAATGTATTATTGACAATTGTAAAAAAAATAACACATTACATGATTTATAATGTAAAAATTAATAAATAAAATAAAAGATTGGGTTATCAATGTAGAAATTATTAGAATACGTGCCAATTTTCGAAATAACACTTTAATTTTTCAAAATTTTAATTTTTTAGGTTTCAAGAATAAATTTAGTGTAAGAGATTGTTAGTAGAGAGAGAGAGATTTCAGGTGGCCTCATATGAAACCTATCTTTAAATTAGTATTCTTAAATTTATGTTAAAGATCATCATGTTATAAAAATTAAAAATATAATTAGACCATTTATTCCTAGGATGTATTAAGAAATACTTGTTGTATTAAGAAATATCTTTTATTTTTTTTATAAGAAATACTTGTTTTATTACTTTTTATTTTTTTTTATAAGAAAAATATGATACTTGTTGTATTACCATTTATTTATTTTGACAAAAACATAAGAAAATGTTGTGCTACATTTTCTTTTTTGCTTGTTGTATTACATTTCTTCTTCTTTTTTTGACAACAAAAATAAGAAAAATGATGCTACCAAAGTACTTTTTACTTTTTTATACTTTTTATTTTATTTTTTGACGAGAAATACTTGTTATATTACCTTTTAATACTTGTTATATTGCCTTTAGTTTTTTGACACGAAAATAAAAAAATATTGTATTATCTTTTTTTTAAATAAAAAAACCTTTTGTTTTTTATTTTTTTTGACAACATTATTTTCTTTTTTGACAATATTATTTTCTTCCTTTTAGTGGACAAAAATTAATTGGATTTTCTTCCTTTTAGACAAGGAAAATAAGTTGGATGGCCCCCAAGGGGCTCAAAGTTGAGATGTCCAAGAAGAAATTATGAGTAATAACCAACTATACCACATAATAATAGTGTATTTTGAATTGCCGTCTAAACATTATAATGATTTTGTGGGAATTATCCCACATCGAAGCTTTAATGCAAGACTGCATGGTATAAATGCTTCTGTCGGGCCATCAAAAAGCGCATCACTGCATGTGAAGATCATGTGCCTGACGTGTATGATTGGCATCATGGGCATCAAATATGCCCTTCAATTTCAAATAAATTTCAGACTTTCAATTTCAAATAAATTTCAGACTTCCAATTTCAAATAAA